TATATATATATATATATTTGGTGCTTTTAAACATAACATTAAAACCATATAAACCAACTTAAAGAAGGAAGAGTTCATGTTAGCTAACAATTCCAGGTCATTTCTGTTATAGCAGAAAAGCCACATCAGCAGATATTTGAAATAAACAGTGCCATTACATCTCTCCACAAGATCAGGGAGAGGCTGAGTGACTTCACTGGCCTAATACTCTTTCTCCATTGATAAGATTCGTGACCATCTGCATAGGAAGTGGTGCCAGCTACGGTGGATGGATGGGTTTTTACGTATCAATTAATATAATCAAAATAATCCCCCATAGCCATTCTCACAGACAATTCTGGTTTGGCAATTTTCTCATTTTGAAGTGATTTTAGATTGTTTTAATTTGATAATTAAAACTAGTAATGGCAATTTCAGAATAATTTGAGTAGTTGTTGAACTAGACGCCCATGCATAATTTATAAATTGAGACAGTTTGAGAATGATAGGAACCAATATTTTTAATAACCTTGGAAAAATTCAAATAAACCAGAACAATTCCAAGACAAACAGTATTCCAAGACAAAACATAAAGAATCATGCAAAAAAGTATCATAACACTTTTAATCCCAGCACTCAGGAGGCAGAGGCAGGTAGATCTTGTGAATTCGAGACCAACCTGGTCTACAAGAGCTAGTTCTAGGACAACCTCCAAAGCCACAGAGAAACCCTGTCTCGAAAAAATCCAAAAAAAAAAAAAAAAAACAAAACAAAACAAAAAGTATCATGACATAGTGTTGTCAATGCAAAGCTTCTGTTTTTCATTCTAAGCAAACACAGTGGAAAAGCCACAGGAACCATTTTGCTTTCCACTTTCCTATTCTATCACGAATCACAGAGCCTGAACTTTGCCATAGGAAAAGTAATTTTGAAAAAGGAAGTATGTTAAATTATTTTATGCTCATGACACAGCAATCCTGAACTTCATTATCATTTAATTCATTAAAATGATTTGTGTAAATGAAAAATATGCATTTAGAAAATAAACAATAAATGGTCACTGAGCTAAGAATAGCTCTTATAATATTACCTGATTTTAGCCATAGAAATTTATGTCTGTGAAAGGTAGAAACATTTGTCTTGCCAAGTTTGAAGAATGGAGATGTTTAAAATTCTGAACTAATGTAACAAGTGGCTTGTAGGTGAAACATTTAAAACTCAAGAACCATAAAAACCAAAACCCAAACAAGATAAAAACAAACAACAAAAAAGCCCTAAAGCACCACCAATGTTTCCAAATTTGTCATTCATTTCTGCAAATTTGAATCTTAAATTCCAGTCAAATTATTTGTACTTTTACCTGCTTCCTCTTGTCCCCCAAGTTTGGAAGAAGGCTATTTTCTCACTGGGGCATTATACTCTTTCTTTAATTCACTTCCATGATACCTTTATATCCAGCCACAAGCAGAAGAACACAAGCTACCCAAAATATAATATATAGTGGAAAATTACCAATACGGAGTCAGGTAGAAATATAAGGGTATTTAACAGGGAAAAGCCTTACTTACAGAGCGACCTAGACAGCCAGCGTGGCAGCAGTCTGTACAGTAAGAAGCAAAGTGAAACCGAAAGCACAAACACAGTCACACTACGTCATTCTGACCACGCCTTGACAAGCATGGTCAGGCACACCTGTAGCCAGCCCCTAAGTAGGCATGGCTACAGCTTCCCCTACAATAATATTTAGAACTAACTGTAATTTCTTTACAAGCTAATTATAATATCTGAAATAAAATGACAATAATAATTTCACAAACTGTTATATTTACTTTATTTACTCCTTTTGTTTGTTTCTATTCTAAGCCATTTTTTAGGAAATGGAATGGAAACAACTAGGTAAAAAAGTAAAAAAAAAACAAAAAATACCAACTATTTCTCTCTCTCTTAAACACAGAGATATATAATTCAGAAAGAATTTCTGGAAAGTCCTAGCATTTACCTTTAGTTCATACAGTCCAGAGACTTTAAGAAACTTGGTATGTCTTTTCTAGTTTGGATTACAGACATTCTGGTAAAGAGCTACAATCAGATATGATGGGGAATGTACTGTGCATGTTTATCTTATTGATTGTTAAATAAAATACTGTTTGGCCAATGAGACAGCAGTTAGACGGGACTAGGAGTCAAAGAGGATTCTGGGAAAAGTAGTAGAAAAGTGCTGATCCAGGCAGGAAGTGACATAGCAAGGAGATTCATATTTAAGCAAAAGAGAAGCAGGAAGGGCTCTCTTTTCCCCTTCCTCCTCCAGCGGCATAATGTGATCCACTGGCAAGGAGGGACGCCAATAAGACGTCCGATAAGATAAGACTTATAAAATATATAGATTTATGATAATTGAGACTGAGCTAATAGATGAGAAGTCCTAGTCATTGGCCAAGCAGCTTTAAACCTAATACAAGTTTCTATGTATTCATTTGGGCCCAACTTGGGCAGGCGCTGGCTTAAAGCTCACAGTGGTGGTGGGGCTCAGGCGGCTTTTGGCAGAAAGATTTATCTTAACACAGATACACATTTTTCATTCTAGAATAACATCTTAATTACAAATAGTCGAAGTTGCCTGAAATGATGTTTGCTGTTGACTAGTTAACATTCTGTAACTAAACTGAATGATAGCCTTTGAAAAATTTGCTATAAATGCTGTCCATTTACCACTTTGTCCTTCATGAGATTATGAATGCACATTTTGATTCTGAAAGTTAGAGAAACAAGAAATGGGTGGCATCTATTACACTTGTCCTATACTATGTGTATTACAGTCCATGTTTCTGTGATGATGTGCATGACCGATGAAAACTATTTAAAAGAGTTAGTATTTATTATGGTTCCAGAAAGTTTCATGGGGGGGGACGGATGGGAGGGCAGCTCCTTGGCAGCTGAGACACCTAGGGTATCTGGAACCTGTCTGCATTACCTCGTATCTTGGCAACAACCGGATCAGGCCAGAAACAGAAGGCCTACCCCCAGTTTACCTGCTTCTTCAGCTGGGTTCTACCTCTTACAGGTTCCTCAAGCTCTCAAAATAGGGCCACCACATTGGCGCCACGTTGAAAATGCATGGCCCTGTAGAGAATGTTTCACATTCAAACCATAGCATCATTACTGTTTCAAAATGCACTAATGTGTTTCTATCATTTAAAAATTGCTCAGTAACTAGAGTTACTCTTAACTACTTCATTTGAATCTTTACTCTCCTCAAACATTCCCTATCCTGTGTTAGATGAATCATCAATTATAATGTTGAATTTAGTACTTCTAAATATTGTTGATTTCTTAATTTTTATTTTTTTCCTAGATAATGTATATTGATCTGGTTTTTGAAGAAATTAAAGAGTTCACAGACACACACATACACACACACACAAACACACATATATATATTCTCACCATCATAATGCAATATATGGGTCAACTTTGAGCTGTAAGAGAGACTTTGGGATGCATACTTTTATACCAGAGTAATTTGAAAAAAATATTTCATTATTTTCTGGCCTCTAGTAATACACGTGAAAAGACTGAAGGAGGATACATGCATCTATTTTTAATCAGATATTCTTATTGTGCTGTAAACATGTAATGGTCTGTTTCTTTAGTAGTCATGAATATTATGGATGAACTTCCAGTTTATAGATGTCAGGTATTCTGTAACTGATGGATAAATTTCAATAGAAATGCAAATTAATCATTACATTTCCAATCACAAAAATTTTGAATAGGAAATATAAATAGATGATATTTTAAATATTTCTTAATTTCTGATTATTTCCTCTGTACTTGAGCTACTTCCTCAATATTTTTTACATTTCTAAATTAAATATATGCATATATTGTGCTTGCCCTATGAGCAAGAAGTTATAGATATACCAACTATTGTAATAATGTTTCAATTGCTGTTTTGACTCTACAAATGCCACACTCACTGTTTATGTTTTTGTCTCAAAAATCACATCATACCATATATTATCTTTCAAGATTTTTGTTGTTTGCTGTTTTAAATTAAAATTTTATTTATATTAAAAATAATCTTCCAAATAACAAGCAAACAAACAAAAGGGTGGGGGGTTGGTGGAGCACACCTTTAATCCCAGCACTCTGGAGGCAGAGGCAGGCGGATCTCTGTGAGGTCGAGGCCAGCCTGGTCTCCAGAGCGAGTGTCAGGATAGGCTCCAAAGCTACAAAGAGAAACCCTGTCTCGAAAAACCAAAAAAGAAAGACAAAAAATTAAAAATATCCTTATTTTACATACCAATCCCAGTTCCCTCTCCCTTCTGTCCTCCCATGCCCCCACCAACTCCCATTCTATACCCCCTCCACTCTACAGGGAGGATGAGGCCTCCCATGAGGCATTATTGAAATTTCTCATATCATTTGGTGCAAGCCTGAGTCCCTCCCCCATGTATCTAGCTATAGGGAATGGACTCCAAAGTCCATTCATGCACTAGGGATAAATACTGGCTCCACTACCAGAGGGCCCATAGACTGCCCAGGTCTGCCAACTGACATCCACTTTTAGGGGGCCTACTGCATTTCTGTGCTGATTTCCAAGCTGTCAGATTGGAGTCCATGAGTTTGACTTACTCAGATCAGCTGTTTTTGTGGGTTTCTGAAGCATGGTCTTGACCCCTTTGCTCATCACTCCTCCCCATGTTTTTCCATACCTTTTCCTCTGGTATTGGGGACCTACCATAGGATTTATGTATACTAGGTAAACACTCATTTTTGGGGGGTATCCTTCCTTCTTCATATGTCTCCTTTTCATAGCAATTTAGAACAGTTACAGAAATAAATGAATTCGGGATTTTTTTAATTATTTGTTTCCTTACATGTTGTAAGGAAGGCACATCATATTATGCAAGAAAAAGGATGCTAATGCTGGGAAACTAAGCACAGATTAGTTTGCATCTGTTTATTGTTTATTTATTTGTTCATCACAGTCTTTGTGGATAACTGAAGGCAGAAAGTTACCTTCATTGTCCATCAAACAAATAAGTATCTCTTTTATCCTGTCAACCCTCTGTTTGTGAGTTGTGTGTAAGAGGTACCAGCGCTGGTGGGATCAAAATGACTTTTCTGATATTTGATATTTAGACAGTAATGCTTTGCAGATGCCACTTTTTTTTTTTTTTTTTTTTTTTTTTTTTTTTTGGTTTTTCGAGACAGGATTTCTCGCCATTTTTACAACACCGGACATTAATAACTTTTAGTTAGTTTTGTGAATCAAATTTTCATCCCTGTGAAAAGCACCAGATATACATAACTACAGGGAAGATGTCATTTGGGGGTTTTGTCGATGTTGGCTGGCTCTCTTGCTTCTGGAAGATGTTGAAGAAGACCACTCTGGTACAAAGATGTTGTGGCGCAAAGCTGCTCAGCCCACAGGCAGACAGAAAGTAGAGGGAATGCTAGAGACTGATGGCAAGAAATACTCTCATGCACACCCACAACCCACGTCTTCAACTAGAGCTCACCTTTAATGTTTCTACCACTTCCCTAAATACCACCCACCAGATGGGAACACAGACAGGTGTCTGTGATGTCATTTCATAAGCAAGTCATAATAGTTGTTTCAAATTGTTCCACATAAAAAATCCCACAGTTCTGGTGCCTAACACAAAGGATACACAAAAAGAGATTTCAGTGTTAACAATGTATCTTTGAGAAATCCCTTTGTGGTATCTCTTGTCACTGATGGCTTCCAGGTTTCAGTGACAACTGACAGCCCAGTATTTCATGGTCCTATTTCCTGAGGCAATCACTGCTTATATGAGAGCACTTGGTGCAAATTCAACCTATTTTTTAGGTTTAAAAAACCATAAAGAATTACAGAGAAAAATTACAAAGTCCATTTTTAGTTCCTTGGAGAAATGATTCAATTTTTCTACTAATTGTTTGTCTATATACATGTGTGTACAGATATATTTGAATATTTTTGATTTGTTAGTTTGAAAAGTCCTCAAATCATTTTAATTTTATGAAAGTATTATATACTCAATGTTGTTTATGATTCATAGTGATTTTTAAACCTTTGCTTCTAAGAGTTAAAAGTTAAATGCATTCCTAAAATCTGATCTTTTTATGTGTTTATCTTCCATTAATGATTTTACATTCCTGTTTTTAAGTGTTAAATCTACCATATAGCTTTCCTTAAGATTGTGTAGAAACTGATGCATCTTCAAATTACTTATGTTTATAAGAGGTTTTCAATTTAAAATTTTATTCTAAGTAGCATGTCTTAATTAAAAGAATATTGTGGTACTGAGAGGAAGCTTAGTTTATAAAGGGATCATTGTTGTGGTAGAGGAACAATAGAGAGGGAAAGAACTGGTACAAGTGACCTGAAAGAGAAAAATGGGAAAAACATGGAGGAGGGGTAATTAGGAGGAGGAATATAAATACACAAGAAGGAACAAGAAGAGTAAAATCATAATAAGTATGTCAGAGACAATTATAGGGAATCATACTATCTACCTAAAAATATCTATACTACATGTCAGTTGGTATATAAATATGTATTATAGTTTTAACGACTTTTCATTTAAACTGACAAAGTCCCATTGCAGAA